TATTGTATGAACAAACATTGTTAAATCATCTATACTCCCCAAAGTAATGTACACATTTCATGCAATCCCTAACAAAATACCACCAGCATTTTTCACCACAAAAGATCTTGAATAGCCAAAGCAAACCTGAAAGAGAAAAGAAAAACTGGAGGTATCATAAATCCAGATTTTAAGTTATATTACAAAGCTGTAGTAATCAAAACAGTATTGTACTAGCACAAAAATAGACAAGTAGATCAATAGAACGGAATAGAAAAATCAGAACTAAACCCACAATTATATGGTCAATTAATCTTTGACAAAACAGGAAAGAATATCCAATGGGGGAAAAAAAGTCTCTTCAACAAACGGTGTTGGGAAAACTAGACAGCAACATGCAAAAGAATGAAACAGGACCACTTTCTTACACCATACCATACACAAACATAATCTCAAAATGGATCAAAGACTTAAGTGTGAGACCCGAAGCCATAAAAATCCTAGCAGAAAGCACAGGAAGTAATGTCTCTAACATGTTACTATATAACATTTTTCTAGATATGTCTCTTGAGATCAGAAAAATAAAATTAAAAAATAAATGATTTAAGCTACATCAAAAATAAAAAGCAAAGCAAAGCAAACAATCAACAAAACTAAAAGGCAACCTACTCGATGGGAGAAGATATTCACAAATAACATATCTGATAAAAGGTTAGTATCCAAAATATGCAAAGAACTGATATAACTCAACACCTAAAAACCAAATAATCCAATTTAAAACTGGGCAGCCTTGTATCTTTTATTAACTTTACTAGTGACAGCACTTTTGGGAACATGAGAATCTCTGGAATCACTTGGCCTAGTAGCTGATCTCCCCAGCCTAAGAACAACCATGCCTTGATCCCACTGTCCATCCTGTGTGAGACTTCCTTTCCTCAACCCTCCTTGGTCTGGTGCTCAGTCTACAATCACACTCAGGTGCTTAAGACCCTTGAACCTTAAGACCCTTAATACCTCAAGACCACCATCCCTCTCACGTCCCACTGGGGCATATTCATTCTTCCAGTTAAAAATGAACATTGATGACAATTACAGTGATTAGTGGGTTTAGCTTTAGTTCAGTTCATATTTCAGATCAAGTATTTGGAGATTTAGTTCAGATCATAATTCAGCCAAGAAGTGCTATATCCAGCCCACAAAGAAGAGAACCCCATACCCTACTTCCATCTTCCCAGCCAAGGCACTGAGTAGTTGGAAGGGATTGGAGTCTAATGGAAATGGTCCCTTGACCTCCCTTTCAAGGAGCAGACTTGTTGTTGGGAATAGTTGACACCCCAACCCAGAGTCATTGCCCTGCATCCAGGTGATTAATAAATGCTCAGCTTAATGGAATGTGAGAAGAGCTGCCTGTCACTCCCCGAAGGGGACAGTGGAGATGCAGGTGGATGCCTCAGGTTGCAGTAGGATGGATTATAAGGAATAATAAGGGGAGCTCAGGGGGCCTTACTGGAGGAGAGGGCATCTTTATCAAAATTCATCTGTTTGCATGCATTTTATTATATGTAAATCATATCTGAATAAAGCTGATTATAAATTAAATAAAATAACCTGGCCAAAAAAAAAAGTTTTACAAACGCTAAAGTGCTATGGAAAGACAAAGCAGTGATTTGTGATCAGTCCAGCTGTACAGTGTGAGTGTAGAATTCTGTGGAGCCTGGAAGAAAGACAGTCTCTTCAATAAATGGTGCTGGGAAAATTGGACATCCACATGCAGAAGAATGAAACTAGACCACTCTCTTGCACCATACACAAAGATAAACTCAAAATGGATGAAAGATCTAAATGTGAGACAAGATTCCATCAAAATCCGAGAGGAGAACACAGGCAACACCCTTTTTGAACTTGGCCACAGTAACTTCTTGCAAGATACATCCACGAAGGCAAAAGAAACAAAAGCAAAAATGAACTATTGGGACTTCATCAAGATAAGAAGCTTTTGCACAGCAAAGGATACAGTCAACAAAACTAAAAGACAACCTACAGAATGGGAGAAGATATTTGCAATGACGTATCAGATAAAGGGCTAGTTTCCAAGATCTATAAAGAACTTATTTTTTTAAATCTTTATTTATTTATGATAGTCACAGAGAGAGAGAGAGAGAGAGGCAGAGACACAGGCAGAGGGAGAAGCAGGCTCCATGCACCGGGAGCCCAACGTGAGATTCAATCCCGGGTCTCCAGGATCACGCCCTGGGCCAAAGGCAGGCGCCAAACCGCTGCGCCACCCAGGGATCCCTATAAAGAACTTCTTAAACTCAACAGCAAAGAAACAAACACTCCAATCATGAAATGGGCAAAAGACATGAAGAGAAATCTCGCAGAGGAAGACATAGACAGTGGCCAACATGCACATGAGAAAATGCTCTGCATCACTTGCCATCAGGGAAATACAAACCAAAACCACAATGAGATACCACCTCACACCAGTGAGAATGGGGAAAATTAACAAGGCAGGAAACCACAAATGGAGAGGATGCGGAGAAAAGGGAACCCTCCTGCACTGTTGGTGGGAATGTGAACTGGTGCAGCCACTCTGGAAAACTGTGTGGAGCTTCCTCAAAGAGTTAAAAATAGATCTGCCCTCACGACCCAGCAGTTGCACTGCTGGGGATTTACCCCAAAGATTCAGATGCAATGAAACGCCGGGACACCTGCACCCCGATGTTCATAGCAGCAATGTCCACAATAGCCAAACTGTGGAAGGAGCCTTGGTGTCCATCAAAAGATGAATGAATAAAAAAAATGTGGTTTAGGGATCCCTGGGTGGCGCAGCGGTTTGGCGCCTGCCTTTGGCCCGGGGCGCGATCCTGGAGACCTGGGATCGAATCCCACGTCGGGCTCCCGGTGCATGGAGCCTGTCTCTGCCTCTCTCTCTCTCTCTCTCTCTCTCTCTCTCTCTCTCTCTCTCTCTCTATCATAAATAAATAAAAATTAAAAAAAGAAAGATTTAAAGAAGATGTGGTTTATGTATACAATGGAATATTCCTCAGCCATTAGAAACGACAAATACCCACCATTTGCTTCAACGTGGATGGAACTGGAGGGTATTATGCTGAGTGAAGTAAGTCAATCGGAGAAGGACAAACATTATATGTTCTCATTCATTTGGGGAATATAAATAATAGTGAAAGGGAATAGAAGGGAAGGGAGAAGAAATGTGTGGGAAATATCAGAAAGGGAGACAGAACATAAAGACTCCTAACTCTGGGAAACGAACTAGGGGTGGTGGAAGGGGAGGAGGGCGGGGGGTGGGGGTGAATGGGTGACGGGCACTGAGGGGGGCACTTGAGGGGATGAGCACTGGATGTTATTCTGTATGTTGGCAAATTGAACACCAATAAAAAATAAATTTATTATATAAAAAAAAGAATTCTGTGGAGCTTCTCAAACATAGGACTTTATCCTGGAGCCTAGACCAGCAGCAAAGGGCTTTACCTCAGGAGAAGTCCAAGGCCTAGCCCAAAGGACCAGAGGAATTAAGCATGGACAGTGCGGGGAAGTAAGGTAGACTTTGAGCACAAGTGATGCTTAGCCCTCTTCCCTTCTCTGGGTGAGAAGTCAGGAGGCGCCAGTGCAAATAGAAGTGTATTTAGGGTATGGCGTGCTCTCAATTACAGCAGGATAACAGAGCAGCTGCCTGGGTAGGTCTCCACTACCTCTCTATTTAAACTCCCTCCTTGGGATCCCTGAGTGGCGCAGCAGTTTAGCGCCTGCCTTTGGCCCAGGGCGCGATCCTGGAGACCCGGGATCGAATCCCACGTCGGGCTCCTGGTGCATGGAGCCTGCTTCTCCTTCTGCCTGTGTCTCTGCCTCTCTCTCTCATTCTGTGTGACTATCATAAATAAATAAAAATTAAAAAAAAACTCCCTCCTTGTCCCATCATTCTGCTGTCTTTTCACCTGCACCCTTGGAAAACCTCCCAGAATGGAAACCTAACCCCAGTCCTACTCATGTGCTTATGCTGTGGCTCTGCTCAGCAGATTCCACCTCAACCAAGCAATCAAGGTTAACACCAGCAGCAATACAACACATAAACATCATATACCTCCTGTAGGACCCACTGAGGAGAACACAATTATGCTGTGGGATTCTTGCCAAAATGTGCAAACTTGACCTTATGATGAGAAGACATCACACAAAAGAAAAATCCCAGGACTGTCACAGATCATAGGAGTCTGAAGAGACATAGCTATTAAATGCAAAGAATTGGTTCCTGGACCAGAAAAAGGACATTAATAAAAATTGGTGAAATGTGAAGATCTATTAGTTAATAGTATTGTGTTAATGCTGATTTCCTGGTTTCAGTAATTGTAGTGTGTTATATAAGATGCAAACACGAGAGGAAGGTGGATGAGGGGGTTCTGCAATTCTCTGTGCTATTTTTGCAACTTTTGGTAAGTCTAAAACTATCTTGAAATATTATGCTGAGTGAAATCAGTCAGTCAGAGAAGGATGATTATCGTATGGTTTCACTCACATGTGGAATATAAGAAATAGTGCAGAGGACCATAAGAGGAGGGGAAACTGAATGGGGAAAAACATCAGAGAGGAAGACAAACCATAAGAGACTCTTAACTCTGGGAAACAAACAGCATTGCTGGAAGGGAGGTGTGGGGTGGGGATAGGGTAACTGGGTGATGAGCGTGAAGGAGGGCACATGATGTGATGAGCACTGGCTGTTGAATGCAACTGATGAATCACTAAACTCTACCTCTGAACTAATTATACACTAGATGCTAATTAATTGATTTTTTTTAAAAGAAGGAATGTGTTGATGAGGTACCACAAGATACCTTTCTGGAGGCTTTTCTTTTGATGCATTGTTAGCAAGTCTGGACAATAAAGACACACACTAGTTTATACCTTTAAAATTTTTTATTACAGAAAATTCCATTCTTGCAAGTCCAGCTCAAGGCCCACCTTATTTACCAAACCTAGACTTCTGTGCATGTTGGATTGAATAGCTTTCTTGCTCCCCAGGTCTCTGATATGGAGTCAAAAGCTCTGCTTTCAATTGCAGGTTCTCTGGGAAGGGGGACTAGGGTTCTGTAGCTATTTCATTCTGAACAAGGCTATGAGACATCTGGTCAGTGGGAGCACCAAAAGCATTATGTCTCTCCCCAAGAGGTTAGGCAAGGGAGACTGCCAGCCTTCAGCAACCCCTCTGCACCCTTCTTTGGGCCCTGTGGATAATGTCCCTGTGGACCTGTCACCAGAACCAGGACAATCACAGAAGGGTCAACACAGGGCTTTACAGGCACAATTGGGCATGCCCTCAGTGTGTGGGTGGGAATGGTGGCGTGTTAGTCCCCAGAAGTGCAGGGCTGTAGGCAGAAAATGCCAACAAGGTGAAAAGGTCTGTTTCTCAGAAGTAAGGTGGGCAGGGTTTAGGGGAGTCCTGGGAGCCACACACTAAAGTGCACAGATTTCAAATGCAAGGGACTGGGAAGTGGTGATGGACAGCAGCTCAAAGGAACCTATCAGGACAGACTTGGCCAGCCTTTAATAATGGAGAAAAATGTGGCTGTCACTGAGCTTTGCCAGAAGGGCTGTGGCTGCAATTAACTGAGCAGTTAAATAGGGGGAGGGAGGGGCAGTTGAGGGCAGGATGGGTCTCAGAGCAGCAGCCTCAGCAGGAGGAGGCTGCCAAAGGCTGCAGGAGTGAAGGAGACTCTGGAGCCCGAGTCCAGGCTGGTGGGCTTTTTGGAATTGGGTGCTGAAGAGGTGCTGGAGTTGCTGACAGGAGGGTTGGTTGGGGGGGGATTAGGAATGTCAGTTGAGGAGGAGCTGAAACCGTCTACACACTTAAACTTTCGGAAGATGATTCCTCCAATTGTCTGGTTCTCAGCAGACAGGAACTGACAGGTGGAGTTACTGATTTTGGAACAGCCTTTCAGCACGAGCTTCTTGGTCTCTGTGAATGTAATGCGAACAGTAAGGACTTCACAACACTCTTGCCCTTCCTCCTTAAGCCTGTTTTAGGTCTGGTTCAGCAACCTGCTTTACGTCTGGTTCTAAAACAGGAGCCTGGAGGAAGGACCCCAGGATCAAGAAGACCACACGGTAATGGCAGAGGTACCATGGAGGTCAATGCCCAGACACTCTCCCCCACCTAAACTCAAAAGAAACAGGCTCCAGAAGGTGGATGCAAGCCCGAGCTCACAGGTGAAGGCCAGAAATGGGCCTGGGACCCAAGTCTCTGGTGTTTTCCTGAGGGGCTGGCAGGTGATTAAAAACCCAGGAGATGGGCTCAGAGAGCCCTCTCCTCTCAATCCAAGAAGGACTCCTCCCAGGCTCCTGTCCTATGAATTCCGTTTTCTATCCCCACGGTTCTCTGGACCTGAGTTCTCTCTGCCTGAGTTTTATCTGAATAGAGGAAAAAAATAGCTGGAGGTGGTCTTCATTCTAAATCTGAATTATATTATGTTTAACTCTGTTAAAAGGTGTAGGTCCTAGAAAAAGGCCAAGGGGATTTGCAAAGAAAATGTGGCTGTGACTGCAGCCACCTCTATTGAGCTGCTACTATGTGCCAATTGCTCTATGACTTAAACAGGTCTGAAGGACAGGCAGTTACACAGGGGTGGAAGGAAGTGGAGGACAGGACTGGCTACTTATCAGAAGGGCTATTAACTTGTTCTGAGAAGGAAAGAGAAATCTCTACATCCCTTAGAAGAAAATGACTAATTCCTTTTTTATAGCAAATAGCAGTGCTGGAGATTGAATTACAGTAAGCTAGAGAAATGTGTTGCTTGGCACATGTCTACAATATTGAAAAAAAAAGTGATCTTGGGCAAAAATAAATAAAGGAAAAACCCCCACATGTATGATGGCTTTGATCTATCTGGCTTCAGATTAAATCAAAGGAATATTTTTAAAATTCCATCCTTGGCATCAGAAGACACCTGGGAACAATGTGAACAGAAAGAGAAATTGTTTCAGATGTTATTGTTATCCTCAGACATAGCTTAAGAATTAAATATCAAAGCTGCGTAGACATGCTAGAGATTTTTTAAATTAAAACTTTTAGGTGCATATTACTAAGTGAAAGAAGTCAATGTGAAAAGGCTACCTATTATATGATTCCAAATATATGATATTCTGATAAAAGCAAAACTGTGGGGAAAGTACAAAGATCAGAGGTTAAAAAACAAAACAAAACAGAAACAAAACAAAATAAAACAAAACAAAGATCAGAGGTTGCCAGAGGCTACAGATTAATAGTGCATAGAGGATTTTTAAGACAGTGAAGCTATTCTGTATGATGCTATAATGGTAGATATACTTCATTATACATTTGTCACAACTCATAGAATATGCAACCTAAACAGTAACCCTAATGTAAACCTTGGACTCTGGATGATAATAATGCATCAGTGTGGGTTCATGGATTCATGAGGTACCATTTTGATGGGGAATGTTGACAGTGGGGGAGGCTGTGTGTGTGGGGACAGAGGTATGTGAGAAATCTCTTTACCTTCCTCCCAGTTTTACTGTGAACCTAAAACTGTTCTAAAAAATAAAATTTATTTTTTTTTAAATAAAAAGAGGCTCGGGATACTTGTGATGTTTGGCCCCACTTCTCAGCCTGCAATTACAGTTAAGCATGGATTTCCAGTACTATAATTGCCATTTGTAAAAGTAGAAATCAAATTGTACCTGGGTATTGGTGCTCTTAAACTGTTATTAAGCTGAGCCATATTGTGGCAGAGACTGGCTGGCTGTTCATTTTAGCTTCATGTCTCTTCCTTTCTTGCTGGACCACACTAGACACCATGAGACTGCATTTCCCGCCAACAGAATGTGAGAGAGAGTGATGCATGTACTTCCAGGTTTTGCCTATAGAAATCCTTCTGCCTCCCTCCACTCCCTGTCTTCCCCCAACTGCTGATGAGAGACAAAGAATACAGCAGGGAGCTGCTACGTCCTGGGTGGCTGGGGACCAGATCCTCCAGATGAAAAGGACCACAGGCCCCAGGACTCTGCAATGAACTGCCATATGAGCAAGAAATAAGTATCTGTTACCTTGATCCTGAGGATTTAGAGGTTGCTTTTTAACAGTAACGAACTTATCCTTGCTAATAAATGTATTATTCTTTAAATATTCAGATGTAACATCTGCCTGAATATTTAAAGCATAATATACGTATCAGTTTTCTATTTATAGTGGTTAATTTGATGGTTAGTATCAAATTACTTCTGTAGGAAAGAACAATTGGTTGGATGCTAAAATCCAATTTGACTCTTCAATCAGGTGACCCAAGTTGTCATAAGGCAGCCCCTCTCAGTGACAGATAGAAAAAAATGTAGGTATAAAAGGAAATAAAAGACAAATCCCACACACACCCACAGAGCAATGCAATCTGGTAAAGAAGTAAATGTCAGGAATAGCATGAGGAGCTTAAATGAGTCTGGCTTGATTATGAGCCAGAAGAGAACAGGGTTCAAGAGATGTACAGCCCAGAAAGAATGGTTCTGGACTAAGGAGGCAAAATAGGCAAAACAGCTCAGGGCTACATTAACAGCCTCATTATGTCAAAAGCATTCTGACCTTATTCTTTTAACCTCCCCCAGCCTCCTTTTGCTAACTCAGAACTTATTACCCAAGGCTTAATATGTTTTCAACTCCAGTCCCATAAAAGGGAATTGAAACCCCAAGACAAACCATTCTTAAATTCCGCAACTAGATCGACACACTGTTCTTCTTTATGACATTTCCTGGATTTCACACTACAGGAACTTTCATTAGATCCATAACATGCAGGACATTCTATGTTGCTGGATGAATCTTCCAGTGGAGGAGCTGGATAGAATAAGAGCCATTAATTTAGAACAAGGTTGTAACATAGAACATGGTACTGCCTTGTACTGAAGGGGACAAGCAAACAAAGATGCTAGCCAGAGGGATCTTGAAAATGGGACAATTGCATAAAGACAGCAGTCATCCTAACCTCATATCCCACCAAAATAGTTACAGCACACAACCTCACAGACCTTCCCTTACAAGCCATCCAGTCTTCAAGGACTGTGGTCAGTGGGTGTGTTGGGCTGAGAAGGGAAACGTAAGATTTTGATCTAAAACCAAGCAATGTCGGGGCACCTGGGTGCCTCAGTAGTTGAGCGTCTGCCTTTGCTCAGGTCGTGATCCCAGGTCCTGGGTTCGAGTCCCACATCAGGGTCCCCACAGGGAGCCTGCTTCCCCTCTGCCTATGTCTCTGCCTCTCTCTTTGTGTCTCTCATGAATAAATAAATAAATAAAATCTTTTAAAAAAAAAAAAAAGAAAAGAAAACCAAGCAATGTCAACATTAGCCAGATATTCTGAACATCGGCCAACAGATGTGTAATTATTACTAAATCTTTCTCTCAATAAATGATCGTGCCCCTTTATTTAACATTTAATACAAAATTATATTGAGATACAGCTGTGCTACTAATGACTTGTACTCTAGAATGATGCCTTTTTGGCCATGGTTTCTTCTCTTCAAAAAGAGAGTTTTGGTATAAACCAACAATTTTCAATATCAATTTGTGGTCCCAAAGAACCATTCAGGGAGACCACAAGGTCAAAACCATTTTCATAACAATACTAAGATGTTCCTTGCCTCTTTCACACTCTTTCTTTCATGAATGTACAATGGAGTTTCTGAGAGACCACATGACATAAGAGATTGTAACAGACTAAATGCACAAGCAAATTTGAGAATCCAGTTGTCTTCTATTAAGCCAGAAACTAAAGGGCTTTGAGAAAATATGTAACAATGCAGCTCTTCTCACAAAATATTTTTTTGCTTTGGAAGATATAGTTATTTCTATGCAAAAATGTTATTGTTAACATGTAATGGGTTTATGATTTCTTAGCGAACTATAAATAAAGATGTTAAATTTGTTTAGAAATTCTTTGAATTTTTAAAATTTCTGAGTGTAAATATTGATAGTATGACTCACATAAATCAAATTTCTCTAGAGTCCTCAATAATTTTTAAGATTTAGAGTCTTAAAAGAGAGGCTGAAACCACAAAGTTGGAGAAATACTAATAAGCCTCTAATTTTATGCAACATGGAGTACTATGATTTCTATCTGTTCTGATAAAGAGGAAAGCATGAAAGTAGTGATGATTTTCCCATTTGTTTTTCAAGTAATTGCTGTAAGTCAGCTGTTGATGTTACCCAGATATGCAGTGAAGTGCTTGGACTTGAGATGTTCACCAGAAGGTGAGGACTACAGGTGGCAAAGGAAAGGAGAGAGCTGAAAGGCCAGAGGGAGGATGGCACATTGCCAGCACCCACCCAGAGCATCACTGGTGTCATTGCACTTCTTTCCTTGGCAGCACTGGCTTGTAAAATGGAAGTATTCTGTATTGGACACATGGACCATGATGGTTTCAACCATGTCTCTCTCTCCTAGGCAGTTGTCCACAGAGCAGGCCTTATCCTGGTATGTGTGGTCTGGATCTATTAAAAGGCAAACAAAGACTGTCAGTCCTGGGTGTAAGGCTTGGGAAAGGGTAGAGACTCTGAATAGTGACTGCTTCAGGCAACAGCAGAAAACACACCCCCAGTTCAATGTGATTTCAGAGACACTGAGGAGGGTTTCCTTGCAAACAGAAAAATCTTCCTCGTGAGGTAGTTCCTTCTTTTAGCAGGAGATGAGCAGAGATGCAGGCTAAATTTCAGATCAAAGATTGATGGGGAGCTTGGAAATGGTGGTTCAGGCCAACATCCAGAGCCACTGATCAGTCTTAGCATCTCTAAAAACAGCCAAGCAGAAGATGGTTCCACGTGCAATAGGATGTTAAATCTGAATACAGTCAAGCTTCTAGATCAGAGCTATCTGATATGGTAGCCAGTAGCTATATGTGGCTATTTAAAATTCAGCTCTTCAGTCATATAACTATATTTCAAGTGGCCAATAGCTACATGTGGCTACTGTACAGGACGGCATTGATATAAACATTTCCATTTTTTGAAAAGATTTTATTTATTTATTCATGAGAGACACGGAGAGAGAGAGAGAGAGAGAGAGAGAGAGAGAGAGAGAGAGGCAGAGACACAGGCAGAGGGAGAAGGAGGCTCCATGCAGGGACCCCAGTGAGAGACTTGATCCCGGGACTCCAGGATCACGCCCTGGGCCAAAGGCAGACACTGAACCACTGAGCTGCCCAGGGATCCCCAACATTTCTGTTATTGAAGACAGCTCTATTGAGCAGTATGGGTCCAATTTACAAGTCCAATTTACAAGGAAACACCAGGAATATGGAAACAAAGAAATGACACCACAAGAAAATAATCAGCCAATTTACAAGGGTCCAATTTACAAGGGGTCCAATTTACAAGGAAACACCAGGAATATGGAAACAAAGAAATGACACCACAAGAAAATAATCAGCCAAAGCCAGAATATGGGACAGCTAGCTATAGGAAAATTGGCCCAACAAATTTTATACAACAAATCAATGGGATTGAACAAAAAAAAAAGTGATGGTAGCTATTATAAAACAAATTTGACTTAATAGACCTAACAGCAAAATGTATGTGGGGTTTTGTTTGTATCTGAAATCTAACACATTGGCTATAACACAACATCTGAAACAACTAGGATATTTCTAAGATGGCCTGGGTATTAGAAGAAATTAAAGAATCACAGCTAATTTTCTTAGGTATCCAGTGGTATGGTAGTTATGTAAAAAAAAAAAGTCCTTATTAGAGATGAATAATGAAGTATTTTCAGGAGAAATTACATGATACCTAAATTTGCTTTAAAATACCATTGCAGGGGATCCCTAGGTGGCTCAGCAGTTTAGCACCTGCCTTCAGCCCAGGGCATGATCCTGGAGTCCCAGGATCGAGTCTCGCATTGGGCTCCCTGCATGGAGCCTGCTTCTCCCTCTGCCTGTGTCTCTCCTCTCTCTCTCTCTCTCTCTCTCTCTCTCTCTCTCTCTCTCTCTCCATGTCTCTCATGAATAAATAAATAAAATCTTTTAAATACATACATACATACATACATACCATTGCAGGAGTGCCTGGGTGGCTCAGTTGGTCAAGCATCAGACTTTGGCTCACATCCTGATCTCCAGATTCTGGGATAGAGTCCTGTGTGGGGCTCGACACTCAGTGAAGAGTGTCTGATTCTCTCTCTCCTTCTCCCTCCTCCCCTCCTCCCAGCTTGTGCTCTCTTTCTCTCTCTCAAATAAATAAATAAAATCTCAAAAAATATAAAATACCATTAAAAAAAGCAAAATGATCATTGTTGACACAGGATAGTGGTTACATGGCAATTCATTATATTCTTCTTGCTTCTATGCATATTTGAAAATGTCCATTATAAAACATTAAAAAGAAATCTAAGTGCTGTGGGAAAGAGGTAAAAATCATGCAGCAAATCACCGTGGGTGCAAGCGTGTTGGATCTCGAAAAGGAAGGAGCAGTGAGGAGAGGAAAGGGAGCCAGAAAAATGGAAGAATGCAAGCACCCAGAGCAAACTGCCTGCTTTGTAATTTAACTAAGAGCTGCCCTTGTTTCTCACATCCACCAATATAGGTCTAGAATGGGATTTTAGAGACAAGAACAGCAATTCCAAGAAGTCACGAGAGCTTGTCAGCTTGCCCCACATTCTCACCTGACTCCTGCATGTTGCTTTTTCCAGAAGGGTCTTCACAACCCCATCTGTCTCCTTGCACAGCCTAGCCCTTTCTCAGCCTTCCTTTCCTCCCTGGCTACTCTATCCAGCTTCTGCCCTGTGCAAATCCCAGAAATGGGGGTTATGGTCTCCCAGGCTCACCTTGAGAAAAGCTGGCCACCAAACTGGTACAGCTGGCATTGGCATTGCCGGGACACTGAGAGACGCTGCTGTTTTCACAAGAGTTTGTCACTGAATTACACTGCACGCAACTGAGGGATTCTGGTGAGACAAGATGGGCAGCACTGTCAACATTCAGGGGACACTTATAGACTGTACTCTGGACAAAGCACCACATCCACACCCCCCAAAGAATAGTGGGGATGGCATCCCTTCCCTCTGGGACCCCCCAAACTTGAGGCTGTGAGATGGAGCCACCTCCATTACTTTCTCCGCACTGTGCACCATTTCCCAGTGGGAAGACCCATAGCACAGAGAGGCTCCTCTGAGGGCAGTGTGCCCAGAGGGGTCTCATATTTTCCACTGACCACACCCTGACATGAAATGCCATGGGACAGGACCCCAGAATACCAAGAGTGAGAAGACTTTGATACAGTGTGTCAGAAGAGGTCTTCATTCCCAAAGGGTGTCAGTGGTTTCTCTCACCTACAGCTGCAACCACAAATGCTGTGATGATAACAGCAACAAGGATGCCCTTCATGGTGCAGGACCTGGTGTCTCCCAAGGAAGAAGACTGTGGTGCAGAGCCTTATGCCTGAAGAGACACAAAGAAGGCAGTCTGGGGGCTGGCAAGGGTGCTGGGGCACAACATCCCATGTTACAGAAAAAATCAGCACTCTCAGCTGGGAGCACAGAACTGTGATGCAGTTTCTATGCTGCCCTTTCACCTGTGCCAGTCTGAGTTTCCCCCAATCCTGGATGCCTGCACATCTACACACAGCTACAAAACACAGCCTGGACATTCCCCACAGCCACTTCAGATACAACATGGGCAGACAGATGATTGCCAGCCCCACTGGGGATGGGGTCCAAGAATAAAGTATAATGTAGTCCTCTAGCTAATATCTCACCACATTCACATAATTCACTTAGGAGCTCTGTCGTTGTCATCACCACACCTATTGAGCACGTGCTTTCTTCCAAGCACTTTATGTTCATTAATTCATGTGCTGCCTTCACCCTAGCAAGCAGGTGCTATTATTAGCACCACTCTCATTTCATAGGGGAAATCAAGTCCCAGAGAGATCAAATAAACCACTCAAAGTCAAGATCACATTCCTAGGAGGTATTAGAGCTGGGGTTGGCCCAGGCACCTAACCACGACCCACACTGCCTCCAACAGATGGGACTCCCAGAGCCCCAGGCCTGGACACACTCAACCTGCAGGACAGAACCAGAGGCCCCAGCACACCTCCAACTGATCTCCAATCTCCAAATCTTTCTGTGTTGACAGTCATCTGATAGCTAAGGTTTGCTGTATTCATTAGGATCCCGAATCAGAGCTCCCAGGATTTCCGCTTGCCCATGTATCAGAGCAGCAGGGAGTAGAAGTATCTGTCTCTGCCCTGAGTCCTTCCTAATTGTTAGTTCATTGATCCTATAAATGGTAGCCACAAACTGCATGTGGCTACTTAAATTTAAAGTCATTGAAGGAATGAAAGAAAAAACATTCTATTTCTCAGTCTCACCTGGCTAGCTACTACTTATTGGCCAGCACAACTTTGGAACATTCCCTTCATTACAGAAAGTCCCAGGGCATAGTGTGGCTTACTGTCCCACTCAGCAGGTGAGGAACCTGCCAATGGAGAGATAAGGGAAGCTGCCCAAATTCACCGAGCTCATGAGGCCAAAACTGGGACTTCATTCTGCATCCTTCCAGCTCATGATAGCTGCTGCTTACCAAGACAACTGACACCTGAGGCTGCAGTCAGCCCCCCACCTCTCATCTCAGCATACCACAACCACACACACATACCACTGCAACTGTGATCACTTAATTGACTTATTAGAGGTTGGCAAAAAGGAAGAGACACTAGTTCAATCAGGGTAGGTAGTGGGGTATATCTATTACGTAAGGGCCACATAGTACAGAAATCCAAGGAGAAAAATTAAGTATATCTGGTTTGGAACTTGTGGCAGATGTTCCATACGTTGCACCCAACATGCCCCCACGCCTGATCACCACTTCAGGCCTGAAACCCCAGTACAGAGACAGGCTCAGAGGTCGAGCCTCCTGGGAAGGGCCTCTCAAGCCTTGTAAGTATGGAGAAGGGAAAAGGAAAGAAAGAGATGAGGGTAAGGAGGTCACAGCAGCCATGTCAGATATATCAACCACTTCTTCTTGTGGTATACCCCTGATTATTAGCCTCATCTTCAGAGGGAAATAAAGGAGGCCCACAGAGATCAGGATCTGGCCTAGAGACACACAGCAAAGAGAGCCTAGAAGTTGCCCTGCTCACCACCTCTAAAGAGAAACCAGGGAGGTGGCCGTTGGTGCCGGAGGCCTCATCTGCAAAATAAAAACAAGTAGCATCTGAAAAACCCCTTTGCAAATTCCTTCCCACTCATCTATCATTGAATATTTTCTGAGTGCATCCTATTACAACTCCTTTCATGTTATACATAAGCAAGTTCAGAGCAGCTATGAAAAGGACACAGCACGAAACAGAGAGCAAACCCCAGGCACAGAGCTCTCCCCTCCAGACTTCCTTCCCCTGAGCACTGCTAAAGGAGCAAGGGCCATGATAATGCCCTGAACCCCAGCCATCCCACATTGGCCTTCTCTTGGTTTTAGCTTTTTAAAGCTGGCACCCCCACCACAGCTTGGCTTCAGCCCCTCACCTTCAGAGTCTGGCCTGGAGACTGCTCTCCCGAAGGTGGATCCCAGTACAGGATAAGAGCAGGTGTGTGAAGGGCCTTATATAGCAGGTGACTGAACAATCAGAAAGCACCACTGCCTGCAGGGAGGGGTTTAAGGATCAGCTCTGCCAAAGCCAAAGAGCCACAGGCAGCTTAACCTTTTGGCAGCTGTGCAGTTGGTCAACTTTCTTAGGCCTCCAAAAATCGGGTGCAACTTTGGTTAAGGCCTGCCTTTGGCAAAACATACAAGAGAACAAGGTGTGTCCTTGATGCTGTCTCATGTTGGCTGTGCCCACTGAATGTATTCCAGTATCTATTAATAAATCATAAGCATCACTTTTTACCAGCCTGATAAAGAAGTCACCTTGATTAGACCATTTACAAATGAAACCAAGGCACAGAAGAGAAACATATGAGACTTGCCCAAGCTCACACAGCTCGGATAGTCAGAACTCAGAATCATGCCACATGGGGTCCTTGCAGCTCAGGAAAGGGGGTCAGGCCCCCTGGAGCAACTGTTTTAACCAGGATGAGAGTAAACCCATGATACAGCCTCACAGGGCAGAGAGGCCATGAAGCCCCTGCTTGCAGCATGTTCTACATACCAATATGAAGGGCCCACACCATTGCTCCTGCCACCTCCAACACCCCAGGCAGTTCATCTGGCCTGGCTGTCTGGGAAGCCACTGTTGGGGAGAGCCTAGATCAGCCCTTCCCAGCACCTTCACACTAAGCCCTAGGTACCCCTGGCACTGAGTGTAAACTGGACTTCCCTGGCCTCTCCATCTTTCTGCATTCATACACACTCAAACATGTATTCACATACATCATAAAACGTACATGCGCACACACACACACACACACACACACACACACACATGATTGGTGGAGGAGGACCAAGGAAACAGGGGTTGGGGTATATATCAGGCCAGCACCCCCTGCCTGCAGTTAGACTTTGGTTCCTTGCTCTTGAAAATACCCCTTATACACTTGCTGCTACTCTGCCCTAGTCTGTGGCTCAACTCTCCTTCCTTTCCCAAACTCATTCATTCATCCAACAAACATTTGTGAGTTTTTTGTTTTGTTCATGCGTTGGGTCTGCCCAGGCATTTGGGAGGTATCTGAGCAAAGAGACAGAGACTTCTCTCCTGGAATGTAGTCCAGAATGGGAGATAGACAACATAAATAAAGTGATAAATAAGCAAATTATAGAGTAGACTGGAATGTGGTAATTACTCTCACAAAAAGACAGAGAAGATGCAAAGGTGAAGGACCAACCATGCTGGGGGAAATAAGATTCAATTTTAAATAGTCAGATCTGCATTGGTCTTGTAGAGAAGACAAAATTTGGGTCATTTTTATAAGCAGAGCCTCTGGCCATCTCTCATTTTCTCTTCATTTCCCCTTCTGTCCTCAGGCTGACTACAACAGATTTTCCTAAACAAAGGCAATTCCCTCCCTAACAGAATTTTGTTATGTCTTTCTTCCAACCACCTGGGATAGCCCAATAGGAGAAGTGGCAGCAGAAGCCACAACAGGATGTGTGTGAGAGAAAGGTCCCATGCACTGGGCTTTCCCCAGCCAATTTGGAGGACTTCAAAGACACAGTAACAGCCTCAGGGGCCACTCTGGTAACACACTGAAAATTGACAGCAGACTCAGGCTAATCTTTATTAATCCTTCTCAGAAGGCAAATGGACCAAAGGCAACAACTTCCTGAATCCAGTCTTTGCCCCTCATAAATAAGTCACTTATTAACCTGGCTCACTGGGCCTGAGCTCCCCTCTATAAAATGGGAACATCAGACCCTGAGGAAATGGTTGCTGGTTATTTATTTCCTCCTGGAGTCCTCACCCCACCTCACTGTATTGTTTCCTAATGTCATGTAACAATAATGGTATGGGAGGTGGGAGTTGATCATGTGTGATGTGGTTGCTATACACAGCCACTTACAGTAATCCTGAATTTGTCCATCCTGAGGTCTAGACAGTGTGCAGATGGGTATCATAAACTCTCCTTGACAGATGAGGAGGCTGACCTCAGAGAATTCTCTCCTCTAGGCCTTAAGACACCTAGGTCAACTTCCTTCCACTCCACCACAACTCATGTGGGGACCCACCTCGGTCCAAAGTGTTGGGAATACTGACCCACTTTCCTCCTTCCTGTTCCTCTCTGTAGTCAGCATGGGACTATGGAGCCAGAAGCTGGGATCAGTCATAAGGCATTATAAAAAAAGTATCCGCTAAAGCAGATTCTCCTTCTCACTAGCCAAGAAGTCCAGGGATCCAAGAGAAGCAGGATCTCAACACACTAAGTTTTGCTCTTAAACTAAGGATACTTGGCACATTTAAGGCACTACGGCTGTATTATCCCCTTATAAGAGAACAAGGATGGCTGTCCTCATGACCATTCAGCAGGTGTAAGCTAAAACTTACCCAGATATTGGAGAATCTGGGCTGAAACCCATGTGGGAAATAGGCTTCTCCTGAGTTTCCCTAAACTATCAGTAAAGTTTAGAGGTGAGTTCTCAAAGGAATCCATTCCATTTTGGAATAAATATGCAGAGGTGAGCAGGGTTGGGGCAAGACAGTCAGAGCAGATACTCCAATAAATTCCAATAGGTGTCCAAGCCAAAAACTCAGCTAAGTGTCCCAACTGAGAACATCCCTCCATCTGTGTTTACTTCGGGGAGCTTTCACTGACTGGCTTGTTCTTCCAGCTTGGAAATGTGAAAATAAGCTGAAGATACTGTTCCCAGTATTCCTGACCTGCAGACACCACTCAGGGAAAATGTGAGTGCTCTGAGAGATAAGCCTGCCAATAGTCCATGCCCTGTGCCGG